GTACTAAAATTGTATGCAGTACGACACACTTTGTGCAATACGCAATGTTAAGTGTGTAGTACGAGATATAAAAAGTGTGTTGTGGTTCTATTCTTTATGCTCGTATTATGGTATTTGTTTTTGATTTAAAAATTTTTTTTTTATTAAATTATTTTACATATTTTTAAAATTCCAAGATGAACGAGTATCATCAGCAAAATCGAAAATACTATTTTTAACTGTGTTACTCATTACTGTTAACGTTTGAAAGGCGAGTATGACAAAATCCTTAAAGTTTGCACTACGAAAAAGTATATATTTTAGCCTCTACCTACCTATTGTATAGACCTAAACCGTAAACCCCCCCATTGAAAAATCCTGGCTACGCTACTGTGTATGTGAATGTGTGAAGCACCTAAAGACTCATTATATTTTTTCAAGAATATGATTTGGCTAGTGATTCATAAATTTTCTAATTTTCTGTATATATAAAAAAAAAATTTTAATAAAAAAAATATATATTTAGTTTGATACTGTGTCGTATTTTCGGGGGGAGGGGGGGCTTTCTCAGATCTTGACTCTACCACAGTACAAAAAAAAGGTTTAAAAGTCATACCTAAAGACTTGCTACGAAGGTACAAGAAAGAGAACATTAATTTATAACATGTGGTTGACTCTTCATTTGTATTTATAATAATAATATATGTTTTACCTCGTTTCAAACTCGTTTCTTGTTATGTTATATATTCTATTCCACAGCATCTCATTTAGTGTATAAACGAAATGTGTAATATATAAAAACTGTTATAAGCATTTCCAAATAGTGATAACTATTTACCAAAAAAAAAAACCATGTAAAATTACAGAAAAACCGCTTCGATGTAGTGATTAGTTTTTGATCATTTGAATATGTTATTTCAGTCTATTAACTATACAGCAATCTTTCGTACGAGAAATGTGTTTAAATTTTTTAAATACTTAGATATCTAAAAATATTTTCGGCTGTTCATTTACTACAAACTTTAAGTATATACGTGCTCACGTCAATTTTTTTAAACGCGTTCGCAGCGGGTAAGACAAAAACGAGAAATGTCTACAAATTATAATATTCAAGTTAAATGTATCGATGCACGTTGTGGATAATTATAAATTATAATTATAATTTACAATAACTTAACATGAACGGTTACTGAATTTATAAGAATCGTACGATACTTAACAGACGTGGCAATTATGCTGTAGTCCACATTTTTGCAATACATTTTACACATTTTAAATTTTTACTGTAAGCGTTTAGACATGTATTATTTATTAGATTTTGAGTTCGTTAAATTCTCCGACAGTGGTCTGCAGAGTTTTTTGTAGTACTTTAATTATGAAAAGAGTTTCCCGTCCTTATTAAGAGATAATTTTTTTCTTTTAATACATCAATATACACTTGCTTAAATTTAGTTTACTTTAATCCAACCACGATGACCACTGTGATGATTTATTGTGTACAAGCACACGAGCTAAATTATTCTTATAAGTAATTAAAACAGTATTATTATAAAACATTTGAGGTACATAAATGACCTTATAAACAATATAAATGTCCTGAGTGTAATAATTTGCCGAACAGACACTATGTTATGCAGTAGGTATGTTAAAATATAAGTATGTTAAAAATTTCGTTCGCTACAACCACAATGATTACTTTTTATGACTGTTTATTTACGGTTTTTATTTATTTTTTATCATAAGTGTTATGATTAGTTAATTATAGTGGATTAATATTTTCTTTTCATAATGTTCTGATAAATCTCGTTACAAACGCATTTTCATGGCGTTTCTACTTCTGAAACGTTGTGCATATTTAATTATTTAAATTTTTTTTAGGTACTTGTTTCACGTTTCCTCGACTAAGTAATACAATATTATCGGTTGACTGTAAGCAGTGCTCATGCTTATTTTCTAAATGGTAAAGAATCATTTGACAATTGATATTGCATAACATTATTACATTATACAGCTACCCTATGCATGTATTTAATAAATATATTCACAGTTACAATTACAACGGGTATAGTTTGTATCTTCGTAATTCTCGGAGTGTTGTAAATAATAAGTATACTTTTAATTTTAAAATAATCATTCAAAACATAGAATCGTGTTTATTGTTGGACACAACAATATAATGTAATGTGTATACAAGCAGGGGCAGAAGACGGGGATTCATCCCCGGGCGTAAAATTTTAGATGGTGTAATTTTTGTAATTATTAACAACTAATTTGTTATTTTTAACTTTGTTAAATACTGGTATTAGGTTAAGACTCAATATGTATGATTGTACTAGTATATTAGTTATTAGAAAAAAATTCTCGAGAAGAGTGTTTGATTATTGGCAGTGCTCGACTTGGCAAAATTAAAGAAGAAGGACTCTATTTACTTTAAAAAAAAGAAAGTCCCCAAGACTGGCTGAGCGTTATGATTATAGCGTAATAATAGTAGGGGAACGCTAAAATTTCTGAAAATTAGTTGGAGTACTCCGTCCCTCTGCGTCCCCCTCAAGTCGAGCACAGATTATGATTATTGGTCTAGGATAAGGCGAAATCTTAACATTTTCCCCGGGTGTAAAAATTCCTAGTTCCACCTTTGCAAATAAGTAGAGTCAATGGATGATCAATAGTCAACCAATAAAGTGAATTGCATAACTGATACTTTTTAAAATTATAATCAGATAATCTTATTCTTATTTTCATTGTTTTAAAAATCTATAGAAAAAAAAATAGAATTTTGATAGAAATACGTTTTTTCCGCTTTCCTGATAGGAGGATGTAGGTGTGGGGGAGTCGTATATGATTATAACGTGAGCCAAATATAAAGGTTGGTACTATTATATGATATGTATTTAATATTAATCATATAAAGTTTATGTCTTTTAAATTAAATCTAACATTTTGTGCATTTCTGTTGTATTGGAATTACTTTCCTATGTTCTTTGATCAAAACACTATCACGACTAATATACTACATCCGTTAAAATATGAGTGACGATGTTTATACAGTATGTTAATTATTTGAAGTCATTCGCTATAATTTAGGATCCAGTTCAAATATTTCAGTGAAATTGTTAATGTAATAATTCAGTATTGGTTCATATTTTGAAAGGATTTAAAAATAATTATAACATTTTAATTTTTTATTTCTTTTTTTAATATTTTAAATTATTGTAATAATGTTATTTAAGAGACAAAAATCTAAAATTGATTAAATTTTCAATAATTAAGAGTAATGGTCTTAAAAAATACAGCAAATTTTATAATAATGTTGGTTATCAACGGTGTATTATGCATGTATATTAAATACCAGTTCCTTGAAATTGATAAAAAAAAAGTAGACACCTCAATCACCAGATTTTACAACCAATTGCGTATTGAGCATTCAGTAACATTTATAAATCATGATGCATAACTTATATTTCAGTACCTACTCACTTCGTTCTCTAATACACCATCCTTGAAATTTTTTCAAAAACATAAATTGAAGAAAACTAGAATCTATAAAAAATATAAGTACTTAACTAATTATAGTAGTATATATTTTACCAACTCATTCTTATCCACTACTGAATATTCTGCTGCATCTGTGTTTTGTGTTGATGATAAGTTAAAAATTGGAATTTTGCTATGTATTCACCCAAAATTTTCAAACATCAAAATCCAATTACCTCTGAACATATATGTTTGGGGATGGTTGGATTTTGTATAAACTGTATAACATTTTCACCATTACTCCTGGGCGTCATAAAAATACCTTTATCAGGTTATTGTTTACAGCAATATATTTTTATTTTTTGTTGGACTACTAAAAAATATTGAGTAGGTGTAATGCAACTTTTTAACAATTTTGTGATGCCATATATATGCCATAGCATGCGTGAGATATTCTAAATGACACTTTAATTTCATTGCATATATCCTGGGCTTATAAAATTGAATTGTTTGTAGGAGTTCAAGATATTAAATAATTGTGAAAATAAACACAAATATTTGTTAAAAAATCAACGATAAAAGTAATGAGAAGTAGGTTATTGGAAATGCATTAAAAGTGTAAAAAACTTAGAATTTTAAAAGTTGTTATTCTTAAAATGTATATTGTGAACTGCTTTCGTTCATTGAAAATCTAACAAATTTAAACAACCAAGAAAACGAAAGAAAAATATAACGATTTTTTGATAATTATTGTAAAAGATAGGTCATTATTAAAATATTACTTTTAAAAAATTAATCTGGAATGTTTGCTATAAATAATGAAATTTAACATACTGTTTATGTAAATTTAATTATAATCATCGTGGTATGAACACATAGGTATCGGGTAGATATAAATTCTTACAGAGTTATATACTTATAGATATATCTCTTGAGATAATGAAGATAATCGAATAATTTTTTTTTTTTTTATGATTTAGGCCTACATGGTCAAGAACTACATATTAATAAATATGTATTTTAATTATATTAGTTTACAAGTGTAACTTTTTATTTTATCATTTATGAACACTTGGGAATAAACTGTCTAAAAGAGTATATTCTTCGGAAAATGTTGATGTTTAAGCTTTATAATTTTTTTAATAATTTTTTAAATTTCTCAGAAGAGAAGTAAGCTAATATCAAAACACTATTATTGTATTTATTACATTGTATTTCTATAAACTGACATATTTATTTTTAAAAGCCATGAGGTTTATACAAATGGAAAGTTGAAATGTTAATATTTTCAAAAAAATCAACTCTATAAACAGTTATCTTCGAATTTTCGATAAGCTAATTTTTTTTCTGATCTATACTCGACGCCGTTTTACGACTATTATAATGCATGGTATTAGACAACCAGGGATGTAAATGGTTATGGAGGGTATACCCACATTTTCCAAATTTCAGATACGACCTATAATAATAAATTATGAATAATATAATACATATATATATATATATATATATATATATATATATATATATAAAATAATAATAATTAATTATTAGTATATGCTGTTTTATTAGTAACTAGTTAAATTACCCGGCTTCGCACTGAACAGTTTTGGCCGAGATAGTTTTTAATGAATTATTAAACCCTACATTATTTAAAGCCTAGTTTTGTGTAAGTGTGGGTTATAAAACAAATGGAACGAAATTTCAAATGAATCGGTTCAGTAGTTTTGTTTGTACGTTGAATTATGTTTTCTAACATGGCCTTCGCTCGTGCCAATATTTTTGATAATTTCAAAACTCCTAGATTATATAAAATTTTGTTGATATACGAGTATTAATAATATACTATTCATTATTTACGCTATTATATTAACTGCAGATCTCTAATAAAATATACTGGTTTTTTTTTTTTTTTTTAAAGCAATTAAAAATAACAATTATAGGTGGTACATAGATTAAGAAATAATTATAAGTTTAATTTTATTTATGAATTTCATAGGGCGCGTAGTTCTCTCCTCCGTATATTTGACCTAGATAATTTTGCGCATCCATTTTTTTTAACTACTTAGAATTGCACATTTTATTTACAACGCAAAATATTCGCGCATCTCGTTGCTGGGTTTTTTTCACTGACGCGCTCCACTATGACTTTCGTTTATTTTTTCAAGTAACTACAGATACTTCCTCTAGCCGACAACGAGGGCAAATATCTGCAGACTGCCACGCTTGATCGTATGTGTCCCTCCGTCGACGCTCTTGCCCTGAATTCCTGCGTGTCTTCGGATCGATTGGACGGACTGCCGCAAGCGCTCTCGCCAAATACCAGCGGCCAACCTGTAACAATAATCAATCATTATACGAAAATGAAATAATAATTATTGTACAGCCGTTGAACGATTGAACGTGTACGTATACGTCATCATGCATGGGACTGGACACAATAAAAATCCGTCACAAGATGAACTCGGAATGAGACAGAAATCTTGTTTAGCGAGAGTCGTAAGATTAGTTAGATGTACGCAAAGGGCTCATTTATTTAATCCAAAAAGCTATCTCAGTGTCGTGTGTTACAGTTCTAGACACGTTTACTATCATAGCACAGGTGAGTTGGTAGGAAGTCAGGGAATATGTGGCTGATCCTGGTTCGAAATACGCACAACAGCTATATCATAAAGTAAATGTTTTATTTTCTCCTTTGTTGAAATAATTGATTTTTAGTCATCGTAAAAACTAAAATTGTTTTCGTTAAAACACTTGGATGTTAACAAATTAAGACTTGGGATTTAACGAAATCAGTTATCCACTGCGATAGCACATTCTGTTTTATTTTATTTATTCGTTCTAGTAAAATATCTCTACATCATTTAGCACCTAAACGTCTTAGAGCTCTATCAGTTGTTGTCTTAGATGCCAGAATGCCGAGATTTAGATCTTAAGATTTACATGTCTTTACTGTAGTTATATCTTTCACGAGTTTGGTTGCAAAATATACGCAGATCAGTTATGATCATCATTATATTCTATTGCGCATATTGTACTGAACGTATTAGATTGTTATTTTCAAAAGGTAATACGGTGTGGTGAATGTCCCGGTTGTGTGATCAAAACAATTTTGAATTTATGAGAAAACGTCGAAGTAATCACTAACGAGCGTCGTTTTATGTACTAAAGTACTGCGATTAGTACTTCCGAAAATATGTACCCGCTTATGGGCTGTGCACGAACTGGCTGTTCATAACAACATTGAAATTTAATATGCAGACGTTATAACGTTTAAAAATGTTATTGTATATTTAAACATTTTACTTGTTGTTAAAAAATCGTTTTCAAAATTTTGTACGTACTTTTCAAAGCGCGCGTACGTTTGCTTATGAATCATAAAATTCTTACACGAGTGTTCATTAAAAAAGTAACTACACGACGTTTCTACTCATAAACGATTGATGCGATAATTATTTTTGTCATTACATCTACGACCTACGATTTAAACTTAATGCGTATAATATATTAGGTGTTAAAACGTATTACTTATTATTTTTTTTTTCGAAAATTAATAGCTCAGCGATTGACGTGCGTGTATACCTACGTCATTTGAAATACGGAGATCGACCATGACGTGCGATGGAAATTAAAATGCGAATTAAGTTTTTTTTCTAATAGAGATTTTTCTCGGACATGGTTTTTTTCAAAACCTACACGTTAATGCGGTTGGATAACTGTGACTGTAGAACCCGTACTATAGAATTCATACAAAAAGATATTACGGTTGTATCGACATGGTTTCAAAACGAGAATATTATACATAAATGCATACTTTACTGCTTTATGATATAATTTGCATCGACTTTACTCATACAGCTCTATGATAACATGACTGATGTATGGACTAATTTATTTTTTAAACTTTTGATCGACAACATTAATTTATATCAGTTTCTTGATGATATAGATATTATCTGTGAAATATCAAATAAAATATGTGTTACTCAGAAGCACTACGAATGCTCAGCGGTTTACACGCAATGTCTCAGAATACTATAGTATAATCGAAAATGTGGGCGTATCGATGTGTTGCAAATCATTGGATTTTATCGTTAGTTTTATTTACTGCCTGTGCATTATTATTATATTAGTTATTTATTAGTTATTATTATATTATTTTACGAGCTTTAACATCATTTTACTTATTCAAGTTAAATATATTATAATAAAATATAAATTTGAATATTAATCAATGACTTAAGTATTTACCGACGCATTTTTCAATTACATGCGTAATGTATAATATTATATAATACACTCTTAATAAATTAATTATTTAATACAAAGAAGTTACAACAAGAACTTTTTTAGATTACAATATTCGTGTGCATTCGTTATACATGGAGTGACCCAAGAAAATAAGACCAAAGAAAACCTAAAAAAAGTTATTTTATAGGGTAGTTTTCGTTGTGATACAAATAAATTGCAAATCGTCTGGCATGTGAACAAATTTTTCATTTTTGAATTTAATACCACCGTTTCTGAAGTACAGCATAGGTCAACGAATCTGCGAAATGAAGATAATTTTTCCGTCTTTTATCATACATGGTTTTTCTTATGGATTTTATATCTGATTATGGCACTTCAAATTCTGTTGCTTTATGTTTACAATTTTCTCGTTAAATTTGGTGATCGATTTTCGATTTTATATTTAAAATATGACTATGCTCACCCAACATTGATAATAATTTTGAACGGCCACGGTTAACACTCTCGTTCCGATATAATTATTTGTATGGTTTCATTTTCCACTTTAAATTACACAATTATACTACACTTTATGCTACACTCATAAAGTTCGGCGGTCAACTAATAAAATCTATAGCGGTTATAAGTAGTGTAAACTTTTATTTAACGATAATCACGTTAATTATTTGATATTTCCAGTTTCATCTATACGTGACTTTCGGCAACGTTGGCAACGTTGCACAAAAATAACGTACGCAATTGTGTTAAGAAATAGGTTGAAAAAGGTACCGCCGATAAGCAGCATACGCAATTGTATTCCATCCATTTCATAGGGATGAGAGTTTTAGTAAAATATAAACACAACCATATTATTACTTTGAAATAAGAAATCCTGATTTGACGCCCTAACCCCGTACTCATATTATAACCGTTAATTGGAAACACGTATTATTTCAAACTGATGTCTTTGAATTTAATTCGGATTTTTTCACTTGATAAGGATATAAGTATATACTTACATTTCAATACTTCAAATTATATTCCGATACATAACGTAACCTAATATTTTTTCATGCATGTTCAATATAATAAAAGATTTTCCTGAGACTAAAATTGTGTGCAGTACCGACACACTTTGTGAAATACGAAATTTTTAGTGTGCAGTACGAAATTAAAAAGTGTGTCGTGGTTCTATTCTCTATATTATGGTACTTGTTTTTAATTTTACAATTTTTTATTAAATTATTTACATATTTTTTAAAATTCCAAGATGTATCATCAGCAAAATCTAAAATACCAACTATTTTAATTGTGTTATTCATTATTGTTAACGTTTGAAAGGCGAGTATGACAAAATCTTTAAGTGTGCAGTACGGAAGAGATTTTCTATTAGGAATGCTTTTTTTCTATACCAAATGTCCAATTTAAAATTGTTTACGAAAAATTGTAAAACCTGATTCTAATTTTTATCATATATCGCGAAGATATAATTTCTAGTACTATATAGTTACAATAAGCTATAGCTAATGAATATAATTATTTTCAAACATGATTAACTAAGGACTAATAATGTTGTAATAATATAGGATAAATATGAAATTTACATTAATTGGAAAATTACTTACATATGCTGAGTGTCATGAATATTTTAACCACACCTCTAAAATATATGATGTACATATAAGTAAGAAGGGGATAAGTTATTTTTTAATTTATAGTTGTTATGAAAATCCAATTATTAGATTAAATAAGTCAAGCATGAAGTTCCTTGACTATAATATTATATTTAAATATCATGTACGGAAATATGATGAACAGTATGATAAAAAATGAATATTTACTTATGAATTTTGATGCCGAATTGAAGAATGCTTCAGCACCGTGATCAGAAGAAGAACGTTTCAGCTTTGGATTCTTTGATAATGCTTTCCAGCTAGTAAAAACTTCCTTAAAAACTGCGTATGCCTACAGTTAAAAGCAGAACGTATGTGTATATTTATAGATATTTCTTTCTCACACAATTTCTTACCTGATCCACGTCTTCTCGTACTGAAATTTCGTGAAAAGCCACGCAACCGAGCTCCTGACACCGTTTTCGACCTTCAGCATACGTCACCATTCGATCATACTGTTGGTCCACTTTGTTACCAACCAATATCACTGGCACCTCAAATGGATGATCCTTCAGATCAGTTGCATTATCAGTACATTTTGTTTATGACATGTCCAAAAATATTGCGGTATTCGCCAGGAATGGTAGAACGATTATTGTGATGGTATAATCATATCAAATGCTGTATATTTAATTACAACAAATCACCGACAGTATTTTTAAAAACAATAAACATCAAGTATTCAGTTCGTTATTATTATTTAAGAAAAATAATGCACAACATTAACGTTTCTAGAACAGAGCCCAGTTTGTAAATTGTTTGCGGGTGTTTAATATATTTTAAGTGCTATAGTAAAAGTAGTGCTATAGCAGTTCATTAAGTATTTTTTCTTTATGTATTGAATATGGGTACTGACTATAGTAATATTATAAAATGAAATATTAGATAATTATTTTTATAAAATTAAATCTGTTTTAAATCAAAACATGTATTTAATATACTTATGCAACGCATGAAGACACGCATAGAACAAATTCCGTAAGTAAAAATACAGGTTGCATTAATTTTTTTTTAAATAAAAAAAAAGAACCAGTTATAGACTAGGAAAGTATTTGGTTACTGAAATGAAAAACTCTAATTATGGGGTAATATAAAATTTTCTGCGGAACATGATAATAGTGTAAATATTATTATATAATATAACTAAACATTATTTTATTATCTTTTAGTACCTACTAGTGAACAATATGTTTATTTAATGTATCTATGTAACTTATAATTAATAATTTAGTATTATTTATGCACACGAAGAGAAAACACTTATAACCGAAATAATTACAGCTGAAATGGTTTTTATAACGATTTTTGTTAGTCAACAATGACTTGTAAATAATATAATATTGTATTAATCTCAATAGAACTATTCAACTAAATGGACTTATTATTCACCAAAAAAAACATTATACATTATAACTGAAGCATGGTTTTATGGTAACTTGGATGTAGACTGTTAGAGATGTCAAACGCCTCGAAATACAATTCTTTGTATTCAAACCGAAATCAATCGTGTCTTAAAATCAATTTTCAATAGTGATACTAGTTTTATTTTTAATTAAATTTTTATTTTTATTGCAGAACGGATCGTGGACCAAGTACAGATATTTAAGATATAACATAACAATACATTAAAATAATGAATAATTATTTTAATATAAATAATACATACATTTTCACCTAGGTTTTTTATACTCTACATGATTAGACTTAAAAATAGTATATTTTGTATAGATCGGAACCAATTATCACTGTTTCTCCTTTATACTCCTTATTACAGTTGTATTTTATTTTGAAGGTCATGGATACCCATTATAATATTTAAGGATAAGATATTGACTTTGAAATAACTTATAATTAATTTTACCTAGACAAAAATACTGAGTCAGTGAATATGGTATAATAAGCAAAAATCTTATAGTACCCACTAACATAAATAATAAAACATATAAATTATAGATCTTAGTCGTGATGAATGTTTGGTAACCTATAATATAATTTTTGCTCATTTATTAATTCTGCCTCAAACTGAAAATACATCAATATTTATAATATGTGTATTGTGTATTGCTTTGGAACGTAAAAAATAGATTGTATTAAAATTATTAACTATACATCCAGGCTCTATAATTTCATATTTTTTTCATTCTAATATGATGTTTATAAAACAGTTTTGTAATCTTATAAATTCGAAATTAAATTTCTGAATCTAAATAGTAAATATATGTACACATATTTATATACATAAAAACAGAATAATAAGTGAGACATTAAAAAAATATTAAAATAAGTGATTTTTGTACAACGATTTCTGAAATTCGATTGATAAAATTATTGAATTGCAGATCCTTTTATCTTATAGGACCAACAGATATCTATTTTTCACAATTTAATAAACGATTACTAATAAAAATGTTTTTAATTTTGAGCTTGCGACTTCATGTTACCTTAAAGGTTAAGGTAGAGTTTTTTTCCAAACCCATGTTTACTTCACTCAATTGTACTCGTAAAAAAAACTGAATGCATTAATACAATAAAGTTATAAAAATCACGTGCATATTCCATGAATAACCATCACAATTTCTAACTATTATTATTCGATATTTTCTTACTTTAGTCGAAAGTCGACGTTTCTTTTTGTAGTAGTTAATCAAAAACTTGATCCTACTGCAATCGTCAAACGAACATTTGTCCGTGATGGAATAAACCAAAACGAACACATCTGCCCAGCGCATGTTCATTTCCAAGTTGTAAGATTTCTATACATATACACATTATATATTATGCAGGTGATATATAAATGTGCAATTTTGTTTACGTCTTGAACGGCGTATCCTGCGGTGTCTAGTATCTCGAAGGTTACCATTTCCGATTCCATGGAAACTTGGTACGTGTACATTTTCTCCAGATTAGGATCGTAATCACCGATGAACTTTTTTGTCACAAACCTCACCAATAGTGCTAGAAAACTCAACGTTATCTATCGTTATAGCATTATAAAATATATAAAAATCAGTGGTGTATCCGATTGTCTTAAAAGAACGCCATACCTGCAATGCAGGTTCTGCATGTGTTTTCTCCATTTTATAATCGTATAACATAACGAATAAGCGTTGAATAGAACCAATTTTGTATTGTTAGTTTTAATGTTAGTGTAAACTGATTTATTATCAAACTTAAAAGGAGTAATATTATCCGTGCGATGACATAGGCATTTAATAATATTTGAATTGTATGTAAGTTATGGTTATGTAAAATATTACGATTTAAAAAAAGATCATAACTAGACTAAAATATCGTAAAATATCTATGTCATCGCACAAATATTGTTAATCCTTTTAAATTTGTAAATTTGTCAGTTTACTCTAAAATTAACAACAAAATAGTGGTCTCACTGAACGCATATTTGCTATGTTGTAGAACAAAGACTACACATTCACGTATGGTGTCCTCTTAAGCGTTCTGGGTTGAGGCAAAATATTTACGCCTTTTGGTTTTGGGATTTTACATTGAAATACGATTCGGCATCCCGGGGTAGTAATTTCTCTCATTTTTCGTCCATATTGTTTTAAACTGTAGTTATTATAGTATGAAACGCATGTATATAATTTAATATTATAAGTTCATGTAATGTTTTTTTTTTTTTTGAGTGAAATCAACATTATTTTCCAGGACATATCAATTTCTTCAATAGTGTACTAGCGTTTTGGACCCATTGAAATTCCTATCTTATCAGAGTTTATACTTAAACGGTGTCGCTATTGTGAACACGTTATACCTACCGAAGATATGGATATACTTGAAAAAAGAAATATTATTATATCAATCCACGAAATCTCTAACCATTATAATATAATATGCATGTTTTACCAGTTTTTCCCACGCCGGGCTGTCCCATTATCATCACTCTAATCCGTTTTTGTTTGGGAATAAGTCCCATTTTATTGCACAGCGTCGTTGTCATTGTGTTCAATGATGATAAATCGCGGTTTGAAAGCGGAATTTGGACGGCAATAAAACTGTTCTAAAAACAAAAAAAAAAAAAACATAAAAAAAACAGGGAAATATTAAAATGAACACGAGGTTCACGGATAACCCCTTTAGGTAATGCGAATATTATAATTTATGTAAAAAGAACACGAAAAATAATTGTATATATTAAATTTAAGACAATAAAACTAGAGTCTGCCTTGAACTTCAATGCGACAACGTAACCTTGTCCGAGGAAACGTTCGGCTGCAAATACGCACCTCGCATACATACACACACATTTAATAGTATTCATGTCTTGAGGAATATCGTGATGTACAGGATAAATGTATACGTATGCGCAATACAGGTATGAATTGTAAGATAGAGTCGTATAAGTGCGATACCAACTCTGTTGAGCAAGAAGAAGCACCAAGAATAATAACAGAGCAATTATCCGTTGAACACTTATGCGATAGACATTACGTATACGTAATGTAATGATATTGCACTGCATGTAATTACCATAAAATGTGTACTTTGTGCGCGACCGACGGAAGGATACGAAACACGCGGAAAAAAAAATGCTATCACTAACGTTTCAAGCGTGCAGGATGTAAAAAGACAGCGCCGCGTAGGCCGTTTCGCGCGCGGTGTGCACGACTACGTGGGTGACACAAGACGCGACGGCGTACGTTTAAACGCAGTCGACGACGGTTATATTACGATATTTTATAACGCGGCGAGCACCTAACCGTGTCGCGGGGATGACTGCGGCGACCGTTTCAGGATACCGCGACGTGACGGCGCCGCGTACAGATGAAAGTGCGTCGTTCGTCCTGCACCAATACACGTGTACGTACGTGTTGACGTCTCCGTTTATGCGATACGTACACATACATATACATATGTTCGTGTGGGTATAGCAGTACGTACACGGGACGTGTGGTGTAAAATGATCTATACCGGGTGCGTCGCGGGAGCACGACGTACCGGATGAATCGCGTCGGCGGAGAACGTGTTGCGGTGGTGCGCTTAGGCCGATGGCAGGACGCGTCGAACATCGCAAAGGTTCAAATGCTCGTTGGCTCTGTGAAATGTCGAAAAGGACCATAGCGTTCGTACCACAGCGATGTCCCGGACCCGACCGGGAGCACCGGAGCGCTCGGACATCCTGTATACGAGCGCGAAAGCGCAACACGGTTCGGTCGATCGCGTACGGTATAGAATGTTATACGTTGTGGTACACACGTGCGTCCTGCGACCGCGGCGGTCCTGGCGTGCACGGGACCGTGAGTAACGCTTTCGGACGTGCGACGTTGTACGCGGACGGGGAAGGTAAACTCCATTTTCGATGGCCGTCAGGCACCACTCTTGTACGACGTTATCGTTATCGGATACGACGTGTGTGAAATGGCTGTTGCACGCACGCGAACGATTTGCATACGTTTTCGTGTAGCGTTACGCTATGCGCGTGGATTTCGCACGCGGTGACCGCTGTAAGCGATAAACCTATGTGTGGTGTCGTCGCGGGGGCGTATTTTAATTGAGGGGAGGGGCGAAGAGGAGATCGACCTCCCCTGTGTTTAAAATCTGTGTTTAAGGAATCGATTGTATGTGAGACGCACATTTCAAATTTTTTTTTTAATGCGGATCGGTTTACAACGAAATCAAATTACGCGTGGCCGTGAATACTGAATCGGGATTTTTTTCGGGTCCGTACGCGGTGAAAAATCAAATAAAACGCAAAAGCGTAACTTTCAAAACATAGCTAGGTGTTAAAAAAGAACTACACAACATTCGATAATAGGTGGATCCGGCATTAGATTAAAAAAAAACCCACAAATATTAAGGATTCACGAGATTTAAATACTATCAAAAATTTTACTTGTACATTTTGAACCAGGATTAAAGAAAAAATTTGATTTCCCCCCCCCCCCCTTTATAAGTAAGTCTAAACACGCTCCTGTGTCGTCGATGGCACGGGTAAGCGCGTTCCAGTGAAACGTGCGTGTGTGTATGATTATTGTTGTTTTATGTGCGCGAACGAGCGATAATTTGTGCACATTTTCGACCGGGTCGCGGAAAGAAGAAAAATACAACTGCCCTTCGGCCGCACGATCGCGTATAAACCTCGCGAGAAAATATATAATTAATGGTTTATCGATATACACCACAAATATGGAGCCCGTATGCCATTATCGTTGAATTAATTATTCGTTCGCAATGTAATAAAAATCGTAAAACAACCGATCGAGCCTGTTGGTATATTTCGATGTAAACGCTGCTGGCCTTGGGTCCCGGCGGTTCTGCATCACACGGCGACGGCCACGCGTCGTAACCGAAAACACGCGATATCAATAATGTTATTATGGTGTTCGTATCCCCATCTCCTTGTCCGTTCGGTTCGCGTCGTCTAGTCTCGTTACTTTTTTTTTCTTTCTTTCGCTTCCTCGAGAATTCAACGGATAATCTATCCAGGTAGTTATTACGCATGCACAGACATGGTAGTCGTACACGACGTGTGTACATCCGTTTGGTCGTCACGCCGGTTCGTAATACATCTGATCAAGCTTCACGCGCGCGCCCTTGAAACTTTACAAGCGATTTTTGCATATTATATACCGCGTTCAAGACCAGTCAAACGGGTAGTTTTATTCGCTTTATCTCTACGCACCACGCGCGCGCGCGCGCAACCCCGTCCGCCATCAACGCGTATGCACGTTGTGTAGTAGTGTTGTGTCAACCGAGAGGCCATTGGATCGCAGAGAAACGCTATATCGTTTAACGTTCGCATCGTAGGGGGGAATATAAAAAAAAAAAAAAAATAAAAATAAAATCGTAGGTAAAATGTCCGTAACGCGGATGCCGAAATCCTCATGCGCGAACCAGGAAACGCCGGTGCTTCCATAATAATGATGTCGCATTACGATACGTACGCGCGCGTTATACCTGTCGGCTGATGGCATTTCGCTGAGGACGGGGTTATCCACGCCGGCATTAATAATTTATCGATGACACCGTCGTCGGTTCTCCAATGTCAACAAGTTGACAAATTAATAAACGACCACGACGAACCGACATGCGGCTGACATTGGAAAACGAGAAAATACGCGCGTCGCGTTGTATCACTGCGCGCGCTCCGTACACAGCAACGATTAAAATTTCATTATTATTCGTTATTATTTTCCGGTGGACGATCCAATGTGTATACCGGACACCTGTGTGTGTGTGTGTGTTGGATATTCGTTGACGATAATCGCGACCGACCGAACGAAAGTCCCGAAATTTACATATATATCGTGCGCGCTCCAGCGAATTGAGAAGACCATCAAAACGAATTAACGATTGAAATGTGTTATGGCACGTTATTGGATTATAATAACAATAACTGTTTTCGGTTAATGTGTTATTAATTCATTATGAACACACACACGCACACACACACATACACGCGCGTTCGTGAACGTTAATTACGGTTAAAGATATTTAAACGACAACGTTATTGTTGTTCGAACGAACAAATATTTTTCTTCTCGCTTGTAACAACTTAATACATTTATCGCTGTTGATTTTTATTAAAATCACTGCATCGCGAAACGACTAATTTATCGTATCTATTACGTTGCGTAGATGAACGTTTGGATGTACCGATGGATAAACCATAATAGTTTTCGGTGTTGGTAACGTTTTGGAAAACACAAAATACAATAAAACATTTGAAAAGCTATCTTATTACGATTAAAATCTAAATAGGTATTGGTTTCAATATTGAGTACTAAGTTACATAAGTTCCAATTAAGTATGGAATACTTGTAATGTATAAGTATTAACCTTGATTGGTTCAAAAGTAAGATTGAGAGAAAAATAGTCAATAACAATACATTCAAATACCACGGGTTTCAAAAATGTATAAAATGTTGCGGCCTTATTGACATATACATATATATATATTTCGTGTATTTCCATTGAAACATTTTATTACAAATTTTATTTAGAATAAAGTTTTAATAATCAAATACAGCAATCAAAGAAGTTCAATTACGTTTAAATCATTCGAGTTAAATATTATTTATCCCATTCGATTCCCATGTATCTTATATCTATATACCTATATATATATATATCCTTATATCCTTATACTTGCAATTTTTTTAAACAATAAAATATCTACGAGAATATTGCAAACGTACATAAAAATAAAAATTCGTTAATACTATTTATGCTTTAATTATTTTATACAAAAATAACAGACAAATTTTTAATATTATAATAACCATGGCTTGGGACTTATAGCACTTAAAATCATTAGAATAAGCGTTTAAAAACATCATTACAAGCACTAAAATAAGCATTTAAAAAATTTAAAATTAAGCAAAAATATGTATAAAAAAAAAGAACTATAAAATTCTAACTAAAAAAATCAAATAAAATAAAAAGAAATCTACACTTTCAAGACTTTAAGGATTTTATAGATTTTCTAAGGAATTTTTCCGAAAAATAAAATGTAAACTGTTCTCTCTATTCTTCATCATTCTGATGTTTGATACTCAGTTCTACTTTCAACGTTGGAATATCTTTGTTAACCATATAACGATGCTTTGGACAGCGACAAACTATGTGACATAGATAAGATAAGAATTATTTTTAAATTTTAATTATATCAAAAACGACTTTGCAGGAGAAAACTATAAAAATGTAAAAAAAACTGGTCAAATAAGCAAAAATAATCAGAAAAACTAGAAATAAGCATTTTTTTGAAAAATTGCTGAAAAAAGCAAAAAATTTCACTTTCAAATTTCATAATTGTACGTGTTATAACTTGACATACATTTCTATAGTACTCTGCTATATTTTAAATCAATCCACAAAAATAAAGAAATGCTTTAACTCCCGAGCCCTGATAATAACATATAAAATACGTTTATTTCTATAATACAAAAAACCCCATATGAGCATAAAGATATTATTCTATATTTTATGAATTATAAAACTTATAATTTATAAAATACAGAAAATGTAATTAATTAATTATTCAATATTTGTCCAAAACTATTTTATAATAATAAACATAACAAATATAAAAAAAAAATAATAAGAAACAATTATTTCACTAATAATCTTAAATTCATAAAGATTGACGTAGTTAGTGGTACAGTTTTATTTTGTTTTATAAAATTACTGAATCGAGTTTCGTATTTTATTTTCAAAAATATTTTATTTAGTTAAGTTTTATACTTTTAATAATTATGAAGAAAATTTTTGGAATTCAGTTTTCTGAAACCGTATTATTTTTTAATATATAAATAACTTTAACTAAACAACTTCAAATATAAATACCAAATTTATTGTTTTTTATTCATATATAAAAAAGTTGTTTGAGAATTTATTAATTTTATAAAAATATTCATTATCAACGTTGAATTTATGTCGATTTTTCAATTTATAAAATCAATAAATTTGTACAAAACTGTTGGAGAATCCAATTTAATTATTCATACTAATAAAATATTGTACTCGTTTCGCTGAAAATCTAAAACATCGGAGCATCTAAAATATACTTCAAAATATTTAATTTATTTATGATACATATATTATTTGATAAAGTAAAATGGTTTTTGGAATATACAAAAATATGTTTATAGGGCACTCATACTTAAATTATCAACTTGAGAAAAGCTTAACAATATAGATAAAATGAAGACCTATGAATAATTTTAAGTGAAATAAATTGTTCTTATTGTAAAATAATTTAAAATATATCTACTGAAATATTTACAATTTTTTTCACTCTGTTATTCGTGTATTTCATACGTCAAATTAATACTTTAAATTCAATCGAATTTATTTTTTTAAATTATTTATTCAAAAATGTACATTATAAATTGCAATTAATAAAGTTATGATCAGTAAAATGTTAATTAAAATTTAATTTTGTCAAACAAATTAATATATATATTCGTATGGCGAAAAATAATTAAGTTTTCAAATACAAACTAGACACTTACAATAACTAAATAAATAATTTTTTTATTATAATATTTTATATTTTTATATATAAAAATAAAACAAATAACAATGGTAAAAAAAAAGAATAATTTAGAATCTTTACAAATATAGTTATAATTCGAGTAGTTTATATAGAATCAATTGAATAAATCATATGTTATTATTTTGTAGATTTTTATTAGTATTTGGATCTATGAGTATGTACTTGAAACGAAGTATGATTAGTCATTACTGATTTAAGATATACACACGTGAAAAAAAAAACAGCCATACAGCTGTAGCGGAAACCAGTTCCGGGGAGGTCAACATGGGCAGTCGCAAACGTATAAAAGGTGTCTGGACATAGGGTTGCGGCATCACACATTCGACGGTTTCAGTTTCAGAAGTAACTTCGGGAATTCAAGTTTTCCTTAGTTTTTTCAAACTAACAAATAACCCAAAACATTGTTCGCACTGTTTCGATCTGATATCGATTTAGTTTGGAATTTTTATTTATTTTTAAAAGTTTAATATTTCCAATTAAAAAAATGGCAAAATCGTTGCTGATCGTCAGTGCTTTGTTTTTGGCCGTCGTTGCTTCTGTAATTGCTGCACCCGCTCCGAAGAAACGTAAGTACATTTCATTTACTATGAAACATTTATTTCAAGTTAAATAACATCAGATATTCTAACATTTAAAATAATTTTTACGTTTAGTTCAATTTTATAAAAAAAATGTTTACGAAATTATTTGTTAAACATTAAAACATTTCCCAATTTTTATCTCGTAGCTATTTGATATTTTCAGAAAATTAAATAATAATTTACAATTTACAATTCTTTCCAAAAACTGAAATGTCAATGCATGTTTTATTTTAATATAATTTAAAAGTAGTTAGATTTACAAAATAAATTTTTTCTATTTTAAAATATTTGTTTATTTAGTTGCCTATATAAGTCGCCTACTTTATACCCATCTAATGTAATAATGCTATATATAATATAAAAATATATATGTAATAAATTATCATAATTTATAACAATTAAATTTAAAGTATTTAAAAAGTTTGTAACAAAGCTGTGCGATTTTCTAATGTTGTAATACTGTAGTTATGGTATTATTTTTTATTTTATAAATTATTTATTTCAAGAACACTGCAAATATTAAACATTAAAACGCCATTTTAATTTTAGTATAATATATAATTTTTGAATACTTTCGTGATATGAATTATATTTTATTACATACATTTGATATTTAGATAAACGGCTTTCCACCCATGTGTTTTTGATCATTATAGTACATACGAATTGATATGTATTACATAGTTAGTTAAAAATAATATAATATTATTCCAATTGATTCAGAAATTTTATAACTATCAGATTTTTTCCATACAGATATATTATTAAATAATCAAAATATCCAAATTCATTAAGTATATATAAATTATAACTATAAGATATGTAAAGAATTTGATTAAAATATGTACAATACAAATTACAATGTCAATAATAGGGTCCAATCCCGGAAGGTGTAAATTTTACACTGTAAAACAAAAATATGCTATAGCACTACAAGGTCAAAACGGTTTAGTATTCCGTGCGGATTCCGTGAAATCGTGATTATTATGCTTGTAAGCAACGAATGTCATTCGAAGATAAAATGATTAAAAACAATATGATTCCGATTATTCCTATGATTTTTCTATTTTAATATACTTGCCCATTTGTCTATTCATTTGTGATACTGTAATTGATCGAAACAATAATAATGTCCCTAAGTTTCTTACTATGGAAATAATGTAAGGTTTGACAAAATCCATAAAAATATTAATAATAATCGAGTTATCAACACTTAGCTCGAAGCGTTGTTTAGTTATGAACGGTTTTCTATTAGTTTTTACAATGTCTTTTATCTAATAGACGTGACTCGATGGATAACAAATACGTAATGATAAATTATGCATTTTACGGTATAATTCTCAATACTGATTCTAATGTTATAATACTTTTTATTTTACAGAAATGTCATTTAATTTATGCAAGAAGAATGATCCCAACCTTGACAAGTGCTTGAAAACCTCATTACAGGCAGTTATTCCAGAATTAGGCGAAGGAGTACCGAGATTGAGGATTCCAGCCATTGAACCATTCGAGCTTCCATCTTTGGAAATCGACCATGGCAAGGGAAGCAGCAAATCGGTTAGCATTGACCTGAAGCTTAAAGACGTTAAAATCAATGGTTTGACCAGTATGATCATCGACTCGTTGAAAATCGACGTGGATAACTACAAGCTTAATGGAAAGATTGGCTTCTCCAAACCACTCGAGATCACTGGCCAATACACGGTCAACGGAAAGGTGCTCATATTGCCCATCACTGGCAACGGAGCGTGCACCCTTGTTTTGAGTGAGTATATTAAATTTTTACGCTTTGTTCGGAGTCATTTTTCTTCCCTTTTACTAACGGTTTCTATGTTTTGTGTAGACGATCCAGTATTGGAAGTGAAAGAAGTGACTGGAACTCCATTCCAAAAGAACGGTAAGACTTTCGTCCAAATCAAGAAAATGGACCTGAGGTTGGCGAGCGTCAAGAAATTGAACGTCAAGTTGGAAAATCTCTTCAACGGAAACAAACAACTCGGTAAGACTAGTGTACCTATTTTCAAACGATGACGCTATTATACTTGTACACAATTATATGCGTGTTGTACTCGTTTTTTGTTTATCTTCTGCCTGACTATAACTCTATTGTTTGTTTTTGTGTGGTACAATAGGTGATAACATGAATTCGATCCTGAACGAAAATTGGGAAGTTCTTCTTGAAGAATTGCAACCTGCATTCGAAGAAGCAATTGCAGCCATTGCGCAGGATATTGTTAACAAGGCATTGCAAAAGACCGCGTACACAGATATATTCCCTCTGTAAATCGTCGTCTGCCGCCGAAGTTGTTAAAGTTTCTATACCAAAAATGTTTTTTTTTTTTAAATATACACGTCGCCGTAAGGAAGTGCTAGAGTAGCTCGACAAAAATGTCTAATGTGATCGACGCTAACGAGATTGCTCATACACATAGTGCCCACTTTCGGAAGACTTGTTATATGTATTAAATTATTACGCTTGTCTCAAAAACATTTGATGACATGATTATTTAACTAAAAAAACCTAGTGTTTTTTCTAAATTATTGAACGTTATTTATATGAAATAAACTTAATTTATTTATTAAATTATTCAAATACCTAACTCTGGAGTTCGTTTTATTTCCTACAGTTTTCCGTCTAAAGACCTCAACAAAATTATTAATATGCTGTACACGTTTGATGACTTAACAAGGTCGTCGCAATACAGAATGTTTCTCTACAATATATATTACATTTGCGTAGCTGCATAGTATATATCTACGAGACTAAGAATATAGGTTTAATATTATTTATTTTTTAACATTTATCACACATACGTGTTGATATAGAATGAACATATACTATATATACTATACTACTTTATTATTAACCTTCATTTTAGAAATATGTGTTGTGAACTTCGTCAATAATTTTATAAAATATTTAAAAGGAAAGTGAGTATTTTCTTCAAGTTTACCAATTAAATATCATAGAAAAAAAGAGAAATATTTACCAATTATTTTTGTACACTCAAATAATTACATGTATAATTTTATGTATTATTTTGATATTTACCATGAGTTTAGATAATAATGTATTTAAAGGTACATAATTATGCAAATAGCCTAAAAAATATATTTTGAATTATAATTAAGGGCCAGCGCATAAAAAATACGAATTCAATAAGTATTTAGTGATATAACCACGTTAGCTAACATTATATTATCTTCAAAATCAAAATCAAAAGCATCTCATTTTCCAGGAAAATATTAAAAAACTATGAGTAAATCATAATAATCTCGTATTATAATAGAGATTTAGTCAAATCCATGAACTCAACCGACTCAATTTAATATATACCTTATATTATTAAATATCATTAACACCCTATCTATCTTAACGTTCAGAAAAAAAATCATCTTGTTACTGACAGTGCCGTCCCGAGGGCAGGGCAAACGGGACACTTGCCCAGGGCCTCGTGTCCCCAAGGACCTCGCGTTTATACAATAATATATATATATATATATACAATATACCATGTATAAATAGATTATAGAATCTAAATCCTCAATCTCTGAATTAAGAACCGCTATTCTGGTATACCTATGGATTTCGATATAATATTGTAGGGCCTCAAATTCTAATGATGCATAGGGTCTCGCAGAACCTAGGAACGGCACTGGTAACTGATGACGAATCCATGATGGTTAGATAAAAAAAACGAGTAAGCTATAACGAAAAAATATGATCAAGTATGGACGTATACTACAATTTTTTTAGTTTAAAGCTAATTTAATAGTTAATAATTAAGATCTAATTTCAAACAATTAATTATTATAGCCAAGTAATTTAGTAAAAGATTTAATTAGTAGTAATTAACTAAGGTTAGAATTATTTAGTAGTAGTTAATTATATAGTTAGTTTTAATATTAATATTAGTAGTTTGATTATATAATTAAGAGGAATTATAGTTTCAGATTTAAAGTTCATGCATTTTGTCGTTTTTAGAAGGCAGCGGTCAATGAGTGAGTGAGCTCTATTTAAATAATATATACAGATCATAAGAATAATATAGGTAATATACTAAAATATGATGAAATTAAAAATAATTTAAGAAGTATGGTTCAAGTTGTCAAGAATCATTAAGGATGGAATTATCGTTAAAATACATTATTAACATATTATATTCAGGGTCGAATTTAGATTCGATCGACGCGTTTGATGGCACAGGGCGCCAAAATCAGAAGGGCGCGTGAGAGGCATCAAAATTATAATTAAATTTGATTTGAATTGGCGACGCAAATATAAATTTGATTATTATAATTATAATTATTTATTATTCTATCGACGTACAAAGATTGGCCGCGATTGTAGGTACAATTACAGTTTCATAAACTATCACTTTATTATTACAAGTATTATTATGTTTGTTTTCTGAATGATTTACAAATATGTGGCAAATATGGACGTTTGAAAAATTATTTTCATTATTTATTTAAAAGCATCTTTGATTATGAATAAGGCTTAGGTTATAATATGTATAAAGAGACCCCTTCAGGTCCCAAAATTCTATCTGCTTAAGTTATATGTTTAAGTTGTTTATGATGAAGGATTGCCAAAATAATTCTTGCATTGAGCGCTGAAAGAGCTAAAGTCGGCCCTGGTGCTTGTAAAAACCAATACATTTCTTCATTTTATTCAAAATTTAAAAAAAAGAACATGGCCAATATTGCATTGTAACAATGAACAGCGGAAACCACGGTTACTTAAGGGATAACAGTATGAATGTTATTGTTTGTTGAATGTTTGCAGTAGAAGACATTTTTTTGGTGAATCCATCATGCAGTCCAGCGAAGGAAACATTTACGCCCTGATGCGATTGATTTTCAATAAGCTCTCTGCCATCCGACAAGTTTTCATTTCGCTGATCAAGATCATGTTTACCATGGTTCAGGTAACCGCTCGGTTGATCGAGTACTTGCTGGACGTGATGGTGCAGACTCACAGCTATTGCACGTACGCGATTGCGGTCAAAGTGCTGCGAGTGCTTATAATCACATCGCTGGTCTGGTGGATCTACTTCGATCGCCTGATCTGGCCGGTTTTCAGTGCGTTGATCAACTCGCCGGGTTCGTCGTTCGGGTCTTCGGTTACACGTGAAAGGACAGTTCCATGACAATGACGATGACGTGACTAAAATTATTAAAGGGCTTCTCGCCCTTACCATTTTATAATACCCGTAGACCGTATAATCTAAATTGTATAAAATAATTATAGTTGTATAGTTCAAAATTAAAGTGTATAATTACTTTTGATAATATTTGGACACAGACTGTGTCACACAGTTAATAAGTGAACTTAGAAATGCTAACCGAAATCTTATCTTTAAAATAAGATATAATATAATATCTTAATATCTATAAGACTATAATAGTATATTTATGTTGGTTCGGTTCGGTTCTGCTTGTTAAAATGTGGACTTTACTTGTTACTTCTCGCATAGTTGCTAATCAGTATCGACAGTATCGATCTAGTTAACGAAATTGCTCCACGTGTATAAAGTGTCACACATTCGCACACTTTTATTAGTAAACATAAAAACACTATACATAAAAAGTGCTCCGTGAAAGTTAATGTAGATCAAGCATTAAAGAACATTTTGAAAGATGAATTAATATATATTAATAATTAGTATAAGATGGAATCAATATGTAGATTTTATAAACAGTAGCCGGCGGAATCAATATAAACCTTTTTCTTAAGCAGGTGATTTCGGCGGAATCAATAAATCCCCAGGATTTTCTTACGGGCGGTGGTAAAACTTTCCTAGGGTAATCGTACCTACTGAAAGGGGTGTAATTAACCTAGGATAATTGTACCGGGAGTAAAATGTGCCTAGGAAAATCTTACCTTCTTCCGGTAATATTTTTCGGGGGTATTATTTAACTGGAAAAACAGCACTGATTATATTAATAGTACTATATTAAATAATATAAAATTTCTTATACTATTATTTTGATTTACATACCATATACAAACTAATGTTTATTAGATATTATTATTAATTATTAAAAATTTAAAAATATAGATAAATCATGATTAATGAAGCTCCATATACTCATGAAATAAACTGCATAAATTTGAATACAATTACTGTTTATTCAAAAGTTTTTTTTTCTTTGGGTATTTTAGTGCAAAAGTGTAAAGTTTTAATGTTAAAAATCAAAGTTATACATCGTTAAACTTCTTTTTTTTATATCAATATTAGAATTAATGTACACAAATATTTTTATTTAATGTTATATTATGGTATAATATTGTGTTAAAAAATTATTAACATTGTAAATAAAAGTTGCCATTTAAAAATGTAAGATTTAAAAAAAAAGGGCGCAAATTTAGTTTCGGTGAGATTCCATGATCGGGGATAATACTGGGTTGAGTACCTAAATGGCGTTGCTGTATTGATCTTTTAAAATTGAAACTAATGTAACATTATTCTTATTTAATACCTTACTGATATTGGTTTCGATAATTAATTACTCCTTCTAGTAAGTATAATTAATAGTTATCATTACATTGCTACATAAATAATGAATAGCAAAATGGGTTGTAAAAGTAAAAAAAAAATTTTTTTTTAAGATTTATTAAATATCTTGCTTTAAATTCTTATAATAATTCAGTGTATAATATTAAGCTTTACAAAAGTCTGTTATATGCGCAAATAAGTCCATGTATTGTTCAAAATAGTACGGAAAATAAAAATAAATCTACATTAACAAATAGCAAGTTTATTGCAATGCATGAAAATAATCAATTTATTTTTTAAAAACAAGTAAATTAATATTTTTAACTATTATATTTATGCAATGATATAGTTAATATGAATTTATTTTCATACAAATCATAGTCGAATATTAATCATTTTGAATATGTATATAGAATCTTCATTTTGTTCAATTAATAACTTTTATCAAAATTGATTTGCTTAGTGTTGTAGTAAATAATAAATAAAACAGCGTATTCTAAATAATATTATCATTGATAAAATATTTGTTTAATATACATAATAAATGCTATTAGTATATTTTTATCGCTGCTATACATTTTACGAGCATTTTTTTAGATTTAATTATTTATACATATATATATGTATGTATACATTATCTAAGAATATGAGTTTATCCATATTACATTCATTGACGTCAACACATTGACATTTTTGTTTTAATTTATATTATATTGAAAATAAATCCACTAAAATAGTACATAGCTACATATTTTAGAAAGCTTTCTTTTAACATAACTAAAAATTATTTTAAAAAAATGTACACATTTTTAATTTATGTACAAGCTTAGGTGAAAATAAAGGGTTTATTTAGTATATTGACTACAAACATTTTTACTTATATTTTTAAAGCATATGGTATTTTAGAAGCTAAAAGTTGAATTAAATAGTTAACATTTATTTGTATAACATATAATTTTCATTCGTTAGTAAATACACGTTTAAATTTATTCATAGTGACATGTAGAAGAAATATCGTATGATATTATTGCACGTAGT